GGCCGGGAAGAGGCTGGGCTGTGTAGACATGTTGTGGGGCAGAAGAGCTGAGGGGGGATAAGAGACCAAAGCGACTGGCATGAAAAAACGCCAACAAAAACAGCTGATGAACCAGAGACTAAGATCTTGGTCATGAACTGCGGCATGGAGGGGGAAGGGTGTTCCACAGCCGAGGGGCCCCCATAGAAGTGGTGGTGGGGAAGGGAGATGCGGAACAAGGAGACCAACAATTCGGCCTAAGGGGCACCAACATTAGAATTCCAAATCGGTCTCCTAAGGTAAATTGGTGTAACCAGGTGAGCGGACCCTCTGGACTGAAGGTGGTGCTGTTGAACGCCAGATCTGTCAACGGAAAAACGACCTGGATCCAGGACTTAATCCTGGACGAGCGGGCAGATCTGGCGTGCATCACGGAGACCTGGTTGGATGAAGCTGGAGGAGTAAATCTGACCCAGCTTTGTCCTCCAGGTTTCTCCGTGCAGCACCAACCGAGATCCGGAGGGCGGGGAGGCGGGGTCGCAGTGGTCTATAGAGATTCCATCCATCTGACCAGGTGCCCCATCCCGCAGACCACAAATTTTGAATGCGTCTACCTGAGGGTGGGTGACCGGGACAGAATAGGGATTCTGTTAGTGTACCGTCCACCTCGCTGCACTACAGTCTCCCTACCTGAGCTAGCGGGGGTGGTCTCGAGCCTTGGCGTTGGAGTCTCAACGGCTTCTTGTGCTGGGAGACTTCAACATCCATGCCGAGGCGACCCTCACAGGAGCGGCTCAGGACTTCATGTCTGCCATGGCAACCATGGGGCTGTCCCAACAAATATCTGGCCCCACCCACTGTGCTGGACATACATTGGACTTGGTTTTCTGCCAGGGATGGGAGCAGGGTGGCGGTGTGGAGGAGTTGTCCATCTCGCCGTTGCCATGGACCGACCACTTCCTGATCAGATTTAGGCTCACTGCGCCCCCTAACCTCTGCAAAGGTGGAGGACCCATTAAGATGGTCCGCCCCAGGAGGCTTATGGATCCAAATGGATTCCTGACGGCTCTTGGGGATTTCCCCGCCACCTCGGTAGGTGATCATGTCGAAGCCTTGGTCGCTCTCTGGAATGGGGAGATGGCCAGGGCTATTGACATGATTGCTCCGGAACGTCCCCTCTCAAGTAGCCGAGCTAAACCAGCCCCTTGGTTTACTGAGGAGCTGGCAGTGATGAAGCGAAGGAAGAGGGAACTAGAGAGCGTGTGGCGTTCGGACCCGAGCGAGTTAAATCGAACACGGTATATTGCTTTTCTTAGGGCATATGCCGCGGCAATAAAGACCGCAAAGAAAACTTTCTTTGCAGCCACTATTGCGTCTGCAAAGAACCGTCCGGCGGAGTTGTTTCGGATTGTCAGAGGTCTTTTAACTCCCACCTCTGCAGGTGGGAGCCCTGACAATTCGGTCACGCGCTGTGAAGCATTTGCTCGGTTCTTTGCAGACAAAGTCGCCTTGATCCGTTCTGGGCTGGACGCCGCGTTAAATGCAGTCTCAGAGGATGTAACAAGAGCACCTGCTTGTCCTATTTTGATGGATTCTTTTCAGTTTGTGAAACCCGAGGATGTGGACAAGATACTTGGAGGAATGAGGCCCACCACGTCCATCCTAGACCCCTGCCCATCCTGGCTTCTAAGGGAGGCCAGAGGGGGATTGGCTGAGTGGGTAACAGTGGTGGTGAATGCCTCCCTTCGGGAAGGCAAGATTCCAGCGAGCCTAAAACAGGCTATTATAAAGCCGCTGTTGAAGAAACCATCACTGGATCCCACTAAATTTGACAACTTTCGGCCTGTTTCCAATCTCCCCTTCTTGGGCAAAGTCATGGAAAGCGTGGTGGCCTCACAACTCCAGGTATTCTTGAGAGACACGGATTATCTGGATCCGGCACAGTCTGGTTTCAGACCGGGACATGGTACCGAGACGGTCTTGGTCGCCTTAGTGGATGATCTGCGCCGGGAGCTAGACAGGGGGAGTGTGTCCCTGTTGGTGCTCCTGGACCTCTCAGCGGCCTTCGATACCGTCGACCACGGTATCCTTCTGGGGCGCCTTGCGGAAATGGGCCTTGGGGGCATTGCTTTGCAGTGGCTCCAGTCATTTCTGGAGGGTCGCACCCAGAAGGTGTTATTGGGGGACTCCTGTTCTACACCACAACCTTTGACTTGTGGGGTTCCACAGGGTTCCATACTGTCCCCCATGCTGTTTAATATCTACATGAAGCCGCTGGGTGAGATCATCCGGAGTTTCGGGGTGCGGTGTCACCTGTACGCAGATGATGTCCAACTCTGTCACTCCTTTCCACCTGCTACTAAGGAGGCTGTCGAGGTCCTGAACCGGTGCCTGGCCGCTGTAACGGTCTGGATGAGGGCGAACAAACTGAAATTAAATCCAGACAAGACAGAGGTACTCCTGGTCAGTCGCAAGGCCGAACAGGGTATAGGGTTACAGCCTGTGCTGGATGGGGTCGCACTCCCCTTGAAGGCGCAGGTTCGCAGCTTGGGTGTGATCCTGGATTCATCGTTGAGCCTGGATCCCCAGGTTTCAGCGGTGACCAGGGGAGCATTTGCACAGCTTAGGCTCGTGCGCCAGCTGCACCCGTACCTCGGGAAGTCTGACTTGGCCACGGTGGTACACGCTCTGGTCACATCCCGCCTTGACTACTGCAACGCTCTCTACGTGGGGCTGCCCTTGAAGACGGCCCGGAAGCTTCAGCTGGTTCAGCGCGCGGCAGCCATGTTACTAACTGGAGCGGGGGGCAGGGAGCATACAACGCCCTTGTTGTCCCAGCTCCATTGGCTGCCGATTTGCTACCGGGCCCAATTTAAGGTGCTGGTTTTGGCCTACAAAGCCCTAAACGGTTCCGGCCCAAAATACCTTTCGGACCGCATCTTGGCCTATGAGCCCACGAGGACCTTGAGATCATCTGGGGAGGCCCTTCTCTCGATCCCGCCTGCCTCACAGGCCCGTTTGGCGGGGACGAGGGAGAGGGCCTTCTCGGTGGTGGCCCCCCGGCTGTGGAGCACTCTCACTGCGGACATCAGACAGGCGCCCTCCCTCATGTCCTTCCGAAAAAGCCTTAAGACATGGCTGTTCGAGAAGGCATTCAATTAAGTGCTCTATTAATACGGTAAAGATGATCGGAATGGAATAAGGAATATGAGATGGGTTATGATTCCACTATGAGACGAAGCGGATTTTTAGTGTAGTTTTTGTAATTGTTATGTAGTTTATATGCTGTTGATATTGCCTTTTTGTAAATTGTTTTTTATATGTGTGTACACCGCCATGAGTCGCCCTAAAGGGCTGAGAATGGCGGTTAATAAATGCATCAAATAAATAAATAAATAAATAAATAAAATAAAAGCTCTTATGCTCAGTATTTTTTATTGGTAATGGGAGTTTTGTGTGGGAAGTTTGGCCCAATTCTATTGTTGGTGGGGTTCAGAATGCTCTTTGATTGTAGGTGAACTATAAATCCCAGCAACTACAACTCCCAAATATAAAGGTTTATTTTCCCCAAACTCGACCAATGTTCGCATTTGGGCATATAGAGTATGTGTGCCAAGTTTGGTCAAGATGCATCACTGTTTGAGACCACAGTGCTCTCTGGATGTAGGTGAACTACAACTCCAAAACTCAAGGTCAATGCCCATCAAACCCTGCCTTTGATTGTAGGTGACCTATAAATTCCAGCAACTACAACTCCCAAATGACAAAATCAATCCCCCTCCCCCACCCCACCGGTATTCAAATTTGGGCTTATTGGGTTCTTCTGCCAAATTTGGTCCAGTGAATGAAAATGCATCCTGTAGCAAAAGTACAGTTATGAAGTAGCAACAAAAATAATGTTATGGTTGGGGGTCACCACAACATGAGGGACCACAGCATTAGGAAGGCTAAGAACCACTGCCTTAAGGAGAGGTGAGCTATTATTATTATTATTATTATTATTATTATTATTATTATTATTATTATTATTAACATAATTAATCTGCAATTCACTTTACCTTCTAGATTAACATATGTAGGCGTTAAAAGGATATACTTCAGTGGGCCATATTATGGCATCCAACTCACACAGTGATTTTTCTTAACTAAAACTACCAGAATTCCTCAACCAGTATGGCCACTGTCATGCTGCCAGGAGTTTCTGGGAGTTTAAAAAAAACCACTAATTTTACTTAGAGCTCTGGTACTTCAGTATTAGAATACATTCATTTTTGTATCGTGAGCATGGTATTCTTGTACCCTCCCCAGATGCCTTTCCTCTTTCTCAATTATTTCACTTGCCTATTCTGTTTTTTGTCACCAGGAGCACTATGGTTGCTGACTATATCTACTGGTTGTCTGGAGGAAGGGAGCAGCATACCAGCAAGCTCATCAAACTGTATTGGCAGGTAAAAATTGATGGTCCAGCTCTGAAGGAGGAGCCCATCTTGCTGTTAGAAGCCAAATGAAGGATTGGTGCTTAAAAGACTGCCGGCTGAGGTTGCTCTGGGGCTTATCAATCAGGAAGCCATTACAGAGCAGTAACGTATTTATAATGAAGTAGATTTTTTCCCCAAGACTAATTTTAAGGGTAAAACGCGAGGTTGTTAACCCTTGGCTCATACTTCAATTTTACAGACAGACATAAAATTTCATCTTTGATAATGTATCATCCCAAGTGCTACATATATATTTCCATATATAGATAGATATCCCTCTTGGTATTGAGGCTTCCCTGAAAAAAAAAATTATGCACAATATTTTGATATGCCTCCCTGCACTTTGCACACAAGGAGGATTCAGCGTCGAAGGAAGTCTGTTGTTACAGCAGATGAATGTTTTAGTGTGGAGTCATCGCAATTTTTTTCCTTACAAAATCTTAAACTAATATGCAGATCAGAACTTCACCGGCTGACAGATTTCACAGTTTCCTGCATGATGGGAGGCAGTCCTCATTAGTTTAACTGCATTCAAATGCATACTTAAATATCGAGAGAGAGAGAAAATACACATTTAAATAGTGAGATTTGAGGGTTTTTTAAAAAAAAAATAGATTCAAAGAGCAACCAAATGGAATGTCAACCCTCTACATTCACTGGGATGAGAAGTGTGGGACCCTCATAGAAATGAAAATCTGTGACTAAATAATTGCTATTTTTTCACCTGAGGGAACACTTCTCTAGAAATCTATAGGTTCTCCAATGTCACTCTATCTCCAACTTCCATTAGATTGACCACAAAATTGTGCTGAAGGACCTAGAGATTCCTACAGTTGACATCTCCAAGAATCTTCTGGTTAAGATTGACTATAGGATTGCACTGAAGGACCAAGAGATTCCTAGAGTTTATGTTTCCAGGAATCTTCTGGTTAAGGTTGACCATAGGATTGTACTGAAGGGCCTAGAGATTCCTAGAGTTGATGTCTCCAGAAATCTTCTGGTTAAGGTTGACCATAGGATTGCACCGAAGGACCTAGAGATTCCTAGACTAGACGTCCCCAGGAATCTTCTGGTTAAGGTTGACCATAGGATTGCACTGAAGGACCTAGAGATTCCTAGAGTTGATGTCTCCAGGAATCTTCTGGTTAAGATTTACCATACGATTGCATTGAAAGACCTAGAGATTCCCAGAGTTGACGTCTCCAGGAATCTTTTGGTTAAGGTTGACCATAGGATTACACCACAGGACCTAGAAATTACTAAAGTTGACATCTCCAGGAATCTTCTGGTTAAGGTTGACCATAGGATTGCATTGAAGGACCTAAAGATTCCTAGAGCCTGGAAAGGTTTTTGGGTTTTGTTTTGTTTTGGATGACATCTTCCTCCAAAATTCCTTAGCCAATGTAGGTCAAGGGAAAGCTGTCTTGAAGAGTCTAAGAATGCCAAAATGATGGTAATGATTGTTTGATTATGATGATAATAATGTTTTGATTCTCTGGCCTATGAGCATGCTCATATTATTGACAAATATTGAGGGATATATTTTTCAGCTGCTTTTAAAATTACCCACTTTTTTCTCTCTTCCCACATCCTGTTTTGCTCCCAGCTTATTTCTATTGTTTCCCAGTAGGTTCAGACAAATCAAACTGCTGCAGTGGTGGTGGTTGTATGCCTTCAAAGAGTTTCTGAATTATGGTGACCTACAGATAATTTATCTGTAGGTCAGATTTTATCTGTAGGTTTTATTGGCAAGATTTGTTCAGAGGGGGGTTGCCTTTGCCTTCTTCCAAAGCTGAGAGATTGTGACTTGACCAAGGTCACCTTGTAAGTTTCTATGACCAAGAGGGGATTTGACCGTGATCTCCAGAGCTGTAGCACAACACTCAAACTACCATACCATGCTGGCTCTCTCCTCAGCTTACTCCCACTGGTACCAACTGAGTTCAAGTAGAAAAGTTTGCATTCAATTAACCCAGCAGAATAGAGAGGAGTGGGCAGGATCTCACCCTTCCCAGTGGGTCCTGGTAAAAGCAAACTGCTGCAGTCTCTTCTAATTTATCTATTGTTCCAAGTTCATAAAAGTTGCCATTTTGACCACACTCCAATTTTGCTTCACTACATGACTCCAGGATTTCATATGTGAAACTTGGAAGGGTATGTGATAAAGAGCTGTTTGAAACTGACACCAACTGCATGTAGAGGGAGTAAAAGCTGCCCATTGTTAGAAATATTTAAGCAGATGTCAGAAGGCCATCTGTCTGGTGAACTGTATTTATATCCCAAAAATCACCTTCTGCCTTGATATAGGTGAGTTAGATGACTCCAAGCCCCTTCCTCCTCCTAAATTCACTTAATCTATGACATGCTTCACAACCCATTTGTTTTATTATTACATTTTCTTTCACCATTTCTCCAGAGATCCCAGAGCAGCATATATTCTGTCTTCTCCTTTTTAATCATGAGGAAAAACCCTGCTTAATAGACAATGCTTGAAAAGTTATCCTCCCTCATGCTGCTGGTAGTGGGTTATGGGAGCTATAGCCCAAAAAGTTATTTTCTGAATGTTACTCTCCTAGTAGATTAAGCTGAGGAACAATGATGCCAACATTTAGATTTGGAAGAGTTGGATCAGACTACCTAAGCAGGCGGAGTCCCTGGTGGCACAGTGGGTTAAACTGCTGAGCTGCTGAACTTGCTGACCAAAAGGTCAGGGATTTGAATCCAGGGAGTGGGTTGAGCTCCCACTGTTAGCCCTAGCTTCTGTCAACCTAGCAGTTTGAAAACATGCAAATGTGAATAGATCAACAGGTATTTATTTATTTATTTACTATATTTGTATATCGCCCTTCTCAGGTGACTCAGGGCAGTTTAAAGAGGTAACAATTTGATGCCCAAAAAACCATAAAACATTTTAAAACATTACTATACAATATAGGTACCGCTTTGGCGGGAAAGTAATGGCACTCCATGCAGTCATGTGGGCCACATGACTTTGGAGGAGTCTACAGACAACACTGGCTCTTTGGCTTAGAAATGGAGATGAGCTTCATCCCTCAGAGTCAGAAACAACTAGACTTAATATCAAGCAGAAACTTTACCTTTACTTTTTACCCAAGCAGTCAGCATTGTGGTTGGTTGGGAAGCTGCACCCAAGTCTTCCTGATCCAAATCCATCACAGACAATGACAACAGCTCTCAACCCACAACATATATTGCATGTACACTATATAGTTAATGCAGTTTGATACCACTTATCTACCCAGATGTAAGTACTGCAGCTCAGGGGATGACACTGATGCCCAGAGAAATTGCAAAGGGACTTACCCCTACTGAATGTTTGTGTGTTTGTTTGTTTTACACCCAAATGCATTTGTGTGGATTTTTGGAGGGAGGGGGCAGCATACAGGGAGCACACAACTCCCATGTCACACCAGCTCCACTGGCTGCCTGTTTGCTACCAGGCAATTTGCCTATAAACCCTAAATGGCCCTGGCTCAATTTACCTGTCTGAATGCCTCTCCCCTTTTGAACCATCGTGGAGATTAAGATCCTCCAAGGAGACCCTACTCTCCATCCCACCATTGTAACAGGCGCAATTGGTGGGGGCGAGAGAGAGGGTCTTCTCGGTGATTGTCCCTGGCAAATTGGCTCCCTTCTTCTTGTCCTTCAGAAGGATGATTAAAACTTGGCTGTGAGGCCAAGCTTTCAGGATAGTGCAATAAAGCAGCAATAGGAATAATTACCAGGCCAATTAGATTAGACGCAGATGATCAAGGCGGTTTTAAACCGTAAATTTTAATATTGAGACAAATGTTTTCAATGTTTACGTATGCATATAATGAATTCATGTCCCTGCATTGAATGTATGCTGTTTGTATATTGTGCTCTGCCCTAAGTTCCCTTCAGGGTCAGAAGGGTGGAAAATAGATGTTTTAAATAAATAAATAAATAACTACCTACTACACCTGTCACAAAAAGCACCATTTCAGAATCTAGCTGTGTATATTAATATATAGTCTTCAAATTCAGATAATGCCAAAAATAACTCGTCACATGTTTGTACGCACATGCTTCTGTGTTACCAAAGCAACAGCAACCGATTATGTACTTTCACAGTAGCCATCAATATCCTCCCTTTTTTTTTTCTTTTCAAAAGCATGCAACTCTTGATGAAAATATTGAAGGCATACAAAGTAAGGCAATGGGGGATTTTCTTTTTACAATAAAGATCAAGACATGCATTTATAGTTTTAATAGTTTTTTGATAGAACTCAACTAAAATTGATGGAGTATGTGTGTGTCTGCATGTGAAGATTTTAATTGGTACTGAAAATGTTTCCTCTTTTCAGTAAAAAAATCTTTCTAAAATGTTCACACATGGCGTTGCAAAGGTATTACTACGTAGAATGTGTCCTTAGGAATATAATTCCTCTTTGTAACTACCATCTTTAACTGATGGCAACTCCATGAATGAGAAACCTTCAAGTCATCCCATCCTCAAAAGCTCTGCTCAGTAGGCCTGGGTAACAACGCAAAAATTTGTTTCTAAAATCGATTTGTATTTGGGGGGTTTTTTTGTTTCGATATTTAAAATAATTACAAAATTTTCCCTTAAAAAAGTTCGGTATTTACGAAATTTCGTTAATATTTACAAAACATTTTGTAAAGATGGCGCCCTTTTTTTTCAATATTTTTTCAATATTTTTTTAATTTAATTATTAATTTAGTAGAATAGGGAGGAGAAATTATTATTAAGGAGGGAAGGCAGGCACTCACTCTGGCGGGCCCTCAAGCGCTGCCGCCGAGTCGGGCCCCGGCTCCTCCGAAGCAATGCGAAATTGGGAGAAGGGCTCCCCAAAGGCCATCTAGCCCAGCCCTCCGCTAAGGAATTGGGAGAACGAAGCACAGCCCTCCGCTAAGGAATTGGGAGAACGAAGCACAGCCCTCCGCTAAGGAATTGGGAGTACGAA